CAAAACCTCACTGTCTTGGCAACAGCATGCCAGTCACAAGTGGTAGAACAAGTGCAGCAGCAGCAATCACAGCGATAGAGGCAAGGGCGGCAGCAACAGCGGCAGCGTAGCAATCGTTGTAATACCCGTAGTACAGAAGAGAAGTACTAGAATGATAGAAATAGCAGTAGAAGATGAAGTAGCAGTAGTAGTAGCAAGAAGTAGAATAGTCGTCGTTGTAGCAGCAGCGGCCGCAATAGACGCGGCAGCAGTAGCAGCGGCAGCAGCAGCAGCAGCAACCGCAGTCGTCGTAATGTTTTCATTGGTGGTACGGGTGCACGTAGTAGTGCTGATGACAACGCATGCAAAAATTCGCAAACTAGCAGCAGCAACAATGATAATTAACCATTGTCCTGCTGCTAGAGAAAATGGAATGGTTGCCACTTGCAAGTACTCATAAAAAGCGTCGTCAACCAAACTCAGCAAAAACGTGTTTCAAAATCTTTGCTCTCATCAGCATGTCACATCACACATACCGCGCGCCCCGGGAATAATGTTTGGTGGTTTTTGCTTCGCCATGGAACCTGTGGCGATTTGACCAGGTGCTCTTGCCTCTCCTCAGCCTGTGACGCAGCAGGGCGCTCGTTCTCAGCGTGCATTTTGGAATTCGCAAGTTTATTGCAGCCCGACATTCTCTTCCTGACGATTCGCAACAAACCTCTTTCCACAATGCCATCAAAAGATGCTGCAGCATTCCAGCAGTTCAAAAGCGCACAAACTGCCTGCTGTGCTCCCTTCCTTCTCTTTAGCAGAATTGTGTTCAATCTTCTGCAGCTGGGAGGGCAATTAGTTTTTTTCGCTGGGTCTTGGGTACCTGCAAAGCCTTGCCCGCCAGCGAGCAACGTCAAAACTGATTTCGCAGCTACTGCCATGCCACGTTAGATTACCCTTTGCGCTACTTGTGTGTTGTTCTTCCCGTGATTTGGACGGCTTTTGCGATAGCATTCTACTACTTCCATTTAGCACCATTGCTCCTGTGTGGCGTGTAGATTTGGGCGATGGGGTCCATGTAATTAGCTTTTTGGAGTATACTTATTGATGCCTGTCGTGCAGCATGGCCTGAGCAAAAGCTTTGTGCAAATCCATCGTGTCTGGGCGCCCGATCAAATACAGCCTCTGGCTAACAGCCGACTATTCTGGACTGGTTGCGTTGGTGGGCTGCTGATGTCTTACAGCTTTAATACTCTCAGAATGTAGTTGCTAGAAACACTGCTAAGCTTAGGTCCACTTGCGGCCGGGTAAGGGTTTTCAACAAATTTTCCCAGCACATCCCCGACCCCCTCCCACCATCCGCCCTGCACACTGTTTAAGTCCTGCCGAAACAGTATTTCTCGTTAGGTAACGGCAAGGGCCCAGAATTTCAAAGGTCCGCCACTCCGGGGCTACTGCTGGGGCTCGAAATCCCATTCAACGAATCGCATTTGCAGGTGCTTCCACAACTCGGCTGTCTCCGCAGTGACATCTAAATCAAGATAGCCAAAGTAGACCTAACCTGCTGTACTTGTATGAACAACACCTCCAACAAACGTTTCAGGGCCCCAAGGGAACCCCTCTTCATGGTGAAGCTTGCGCTGCTTCACATCACCCCTCAAAGGCCAACACCTCAAACACGATCACTGGGATGGTCTGTATAGGCATACAGTGTGCTTGCTAGAACAAATCATAGTCATCACAAGTCATAACCACCGTGAAGGGAGCAGCGAAACGTGAATGTAGTGCCAAACAATTGTCTTGAAAGAAATGGTTGCGCTAAACTTCTAAACTCATCTGAAACCTTTGATGGACCGCGGGCTTTCACAGGACATGACCAATTCAGTCTCACTATTTGCTTGCTTTTTGCAATGTTGATTTGGCTGGCCTTTGGCCTGCGCTTCCGCACCTCTGTGGCAGCAACATAACAACTTCTTGCATCCTACAAAATTTGCATTCATGATAACGTCCGGAAGAAAGGTGACGTCATAGCCGTCATAGCCTTCCCCAACAACATTTGAGTTGGCACCCATAGTTTTGCGGGCATGCTCTCTCCTGTGCGCCTGCTTAGTGTCAACATCGCTACATGACCGGCCCGAGCCCACTCGATCGAAAATCATGCTACTCAAACATGCATCACAAGAGATCAGAAGAAAACCCAGGCGCATTGGCTCAGGGGGTGTGGCCAGGTCGTTGATGCGGACCTTATGCGTTCGGTTTCGTAGAAAAAGGAAAGTTTGGATTCAAGGCCCACCAGGTATAGCACGCCGAGACGGCCGAAACACTTCAAAGGTTACCTGCTGAACTTCCAATGTACAAAGGTCAGCTCTGCCACAAGGCGGTTGGTGTCACCCGCAAGCAAGATCTCCCTGATGGCCTTGTACCTGAAACTTTGAAACTCTACGGAGAAGCAACCAACAAGGAGCTGCAGGGTTATGGGCGCTAGGGCTGTGGATTCGTTTTCCCAGGAGCCCGAGACGTAAACAAACACTACTCTTGGGTCCTTACTCTTCGGGTTATTCTTCCAGGAAAAGTCCAGGCCCAACAAATGAAGTACATGAGCCCTAGTCTACATTCCTAGCATCCCCCACCGTATAGTAGACCCCTATATAGCCTATATAACCCTATAATCCCTTATATCACCCCCTTTGACTATAGCTCACATGAGTTTTGGTTGGGCCGGGGTGCTGATTTAGCCTGGGCCCAAAGATGTGCTTGTGCACCTGCGCCAGGGCAGCAGAGCTGGATGCTTCAAACAAGGAGGGCTTGGTTTCAGACTTCAAGCATTCGGTGATATCTGGCGTTGCAGTGATAAAGGTGCGTTGACACGACGTCTTTTTCAACTCTCCCCAGCGTGGAACCCTGAACTTCGGCACCTCTGAATTTTGCGACAAGAGGATTTCCAGCAGAGGCATCGCTGGGACACAGTTGTACTTGGGACACTTTCTGAGCCAGTCCTTGTTGGAGTCGTGTTTTGGGGTGTCTTCATCCGGCCAATGCCAAATGGGCTTACCCATGGAGGACACATCTGAGGCCACCGATGCCTGCCGTAAACGGAGCCTGAGCCAAGGTGCTTTAGGGTTAGGAGTTACGGGTCTAGGGTTTGAGTATCCAGCCCTGAAACCCTCACCCTGAAGCCCTGAAGCAAAGATACAGGCTGGCCACCATGAATTCAGGGAATTGATGGAGCTGTCGCTTCGGCGTTGTTGCACAGAGATGAACTGAAGGCTAATGTACCTCCAGCTTCAGTTTCCGGTTTGCATGGTACGGGCTTGGAGCAGGGAATGTTCAAGCTTTCCCATAGGGATCCAAGTACACAAATAATACCTACATTGCGCCCTAAAGTCTGTATATACCACCTACATTGGACCATTTGGATTCCTAGGGTTCTGCTTTGGGTTTGAGTACTTGGGATGGTGAGTACAGGCTGTTGTAGGCTAAGGCTTCTCACAGACATGTAAGAGTCCACGGTAAGGCCCTAAGCCCTAAACCCTAAACCCGTATTCGGAAACTGAGGGCTTAGGTTTCGGATGCGGCTCGGACCGGACGTGGTACACCTGACTAGCCTGCTCTGCGGCACTCTATCTTGACCGATCTAGAAATTTGGGGAGCCAAAAACGATGTCTGGAGTAATATTTCTATAGGATTTAAAATATCACAGAAGGCATCACCACGCGCAGGGAACCCACAGCCAAGCTGAAAGCGCACCATGAGCAGACCGAGTAGCTCTGCCAGGAGGTTCACGAAGTCGTTCATCTCCTGGCAGAGCAAGGTGAACACTACTTGGGCTATACTCTTAACTCATTAAAATGGGGTTACATAGGGGAGTATTATAGGGCTTATTAAGGAGGATACTAGGCGTTTAGACTATAACCATTTTTGAGCACGCTTTGCTGACAAACACGTTAAACCGCACAAGACATGCGAGAGCAATCCCTTGCTGTAGCAATGGAAGGCTCGATGCATTTGAGCGCTAACAACTATATTGAACAGGTCCAGGAATATGCATTTTCAAAATATTCATCATGCTAACCGTTATGCAAATGTCTCATCTCCTCCTTGGTGTACTTGGTGAGACCCAGGGCCGCCACTGCATCCAGGAGCGCGCTCCCCGTGATTAACTGTCCTTTTGCGGGTTCAGGGTGTAGGCTTCACGGTTTTTGAGGGGTTAGGTTTAGGGTGAAAGGTTTGGCTTAAATTGAACCTCTAGGGCTAGCAGGGAATGAATGTTAGGGATCAAGGCAGAGTAGGGCATAGTTCAGGCCTTTAAGTGGCACAACATGATGCATAATGTAATCTCGAACGAAGGAGCAGGGGTTGGTTGATTCATTTTAATAGTGGCTAGTTGTATGCCTGGACCGAACGAACAGAAAAGAACAAGTAAAGCGAGCAAATTGAAACGGCTCAAGGAGTCCTGGAGACAGGATGCCAAGCCGCAACCGTAGCCGGTTCTTCACTGACTCAGCCTCCCGCGAGCCACGATGCGCCAGCCCACTCAAAAGAGAAGGGTGGGACGCAACAAAATCCTCATCGCACTCATCTTCCTCGCGCTTGATAGCTTGATTCTGTTCGCTATTCTCCTTCTCCCCATTCTGCACTGGCTTCTCCAGGTCTTGCGATTCTGCGGCCTGCGGTTGCTGGTTGACAGGAGCAACCTCCTGCAACACGGCTGGCTGAAGCAGAGAGCTTTGCAACGACACAGGGTAGGCGTCCAGCAACTGCTGCCGGAAGGCTTGCCAGGAGGCATCCAAATGTCGCTCAAATGCTTTCTTGTCCATCTGTTCCATTAAAAGCGAGGCTACAAATGTTTTCAAACATGCTGTGGCTCATGATGATGGTGTTGGTGGTTGAGAGCATAACATTTG